GAGGTCAGGCTTCCTGCTCAGTGGGGAGTCTGCTTGAGATTCTCTTCCTCTGCCCCAAAGACACGTGTGCATGCCTTTCTCTCTAAAATAAATAAATAAATCTTTAAAGAAAATATTTTTTTTCTGGGGTACCTGGGTGGCTCAGTCAGTTAAGCATCAGACTCCTCATTTTGGCTCAGGTCATGATCTTGGGGTCCTGGAATCGAGGCCCATGTCAGGCTCCCTGCTTAGTGGGGAGTCTGCTTGCCTCCTTTCTGCCCTCCCCCCCACACTTGCCCACTCCCTCTCTAATAAATAAATCTTCAAAAAAAGTTTCTTTTAGCTTATTTTAAGAATATAGCATATATGTAACATATACCACGTGTATTATTTGACTGTTTATGTTATCGGTAAGGCTTCTAGTCAACAGTAGGCTAGTAGTTAAAGTTTTGGGGGAGCCAAAGTTATATGCAGATTTTCAACTGTATTGGACAGGTCAGTATTCCTAACCTCCATCTCTCTTCAAGGGTTAAATGTATTTGAATTTAGACCATGGTCTTCACTGCCCCAAAGCTCTTCTGGAAACCACACCCAAGAAAACCAAAGCTAAAAATAAATAGAGGCACCAAGGAAGAGATTTCAAAAAGGGCCTGTGGCGGGGATTGCACCCATCATACTTCAGTACTCTTCAGCAGAACTAAATCCAAACTACCACTGCAATGCTTTAAGAATATTCTGGCCACCACACAATTTGTGGACTCCTATGTAAACTTTATACTCATTCATTGATTAAACAATAAGTATAAGGTACTATGGGGACTTGCACATTTATGTTACTTAAATAAAGGTCCTTAATTTCTCTACTGCCTAGAAGATTTGTGCTGTAAACCAAACCATGTAAATTCCTACAGCTAGGTCTTGGAGGAAATAAGAAGCATGAAAGAAAATTTCAAATGATGACTACCTTCCTACATGTCAACTAATTCCAACAACTTCCATTTATACCTCCTTTCTTCTTTATGCAATAATCAATTTAAAACCTTTTTCATATATTTAACACTTAAAGAAAATGTAAATGTTTCTACTTTAATATCTAAAGGAACATTATTTATGGATAAAGTGCATTTTAAAAATATACAGTGAGTAGGAAAAGCACAACAGTTAAGATGAACTAAAGAAAGGATAATAGGAAATATCAGTCTATCAAGGGGTGTGTGTGTGTGTGTGTGTGTGTGTGTACATATGTGTGTGTGTGTGTATATATATATATATATATATATTTTTTTTTTTTTATATACACCAAAGAAGTTTTTTCTACTGTTGGTAAAATTCGGCTTCACTAGGAGGAATGTCTAAAAAACAATCTACAGTCCTAATAACTTTATTATAAGGTTTTAGTCTATTAACTGTTACTTCATCATAAGTCTTGGGTCCTTAATTTTATTTCAATGCCTCACCACCTGCGAAGTGTGAATTCCAGGAGCATGCCTATGCTAAGAAAAGGTCTATAAAGCAATCAGTAGAACTTACATTTAACAGAAGTGAACTTAGACCTTCTACAGGCAGGGTGACAACTTGCTAAGAAACAGTGCGATAAAAATAGATCATTCCATAAAAGTAAAATAGAAACTTAACTATATTTAACTTTGAAATTAATGCAGCAAAACAGAAACAACCTCCTCACTAATTTGCCTAACTCACTGGCCTTGTTTCCTCCTCTCCAATGAAGCTCTGTGGAAACAGTCAAGAAGATGGTTAGTTGGTAACGTGATGCTACAGTCTCTTGTTTTCCTCTGATCTTACTGGCTATACTTCTTAATCTCTTCAGTTGTTTCCTCTTCATCCTCCTCACCTCGAATGTTGTAGTGTCCCTAGGATTCAACCCTTGAGCCTCTTCTCTTTTCTATCTATATTCACTCCCTAGGTATTGTCATCCAATTTCATGGCTTTCAACTTACATCTATATAAAAATTTTGATCCCTGAGAGATGCCTTGCCTACGTGACATCTCCATCTTTCAACTTAACATGTCCAACTTAACATGTCCAAAACTGAACTCATCTTTCCCACCTGCTTCTCTCAGTCTTCTTATTTCAGTAAATAAAGGTGCTTGTAATTGTTTAGGCCAAAAATCTTACAGTTATCTTTGATCACTTTCTTTGAATATGAATACCATATCCAACTTATCAGCAAGTCCTGCTGGCTCTACCGCCAAAATAATCCAGCTTCTCACCACTTCACTGCTACTGCTTTGGTCTAAGCCAGGAACACCTCCCACCTCACATACCAAAAAAGAACCTCCTCCTAACTGGTCTGCTTCTAACCTTGCCCAACAGTCTAATCAACAAGGCAGCCCAGCAATCCTTTTAGAGAGTACATCAAATCTCATTGCACTGCTCGAAACCTTATAGTAGCTTCCCACTTTAGAGTAAAAGCTCAACAATTATCTATCAGGCCCTACACAATCTTCCCTCCCCTTTCTCTATGCTCATATCTACTACTTTCCTCCTCCCTCAGCTCCAACTACCTTGGCCTCCTTACTGTTACCTGCACAAACTAGGCACTCTTCAAACTCAGTCTCCCTGTGCACCGTCTCCCCTGCCTGCAATGATGTTCCCCAAGACAATCCACGTGGCTTGCTTCCTCACCTCCATCAAGGTTCTAGTCTAAGGTCTCCTTTTCTGTGAAGCCTTCCCTAGCCATCTCATTTAAAATCTGCAACCCCACCATCCCACCATTCTTTCAGCACTACCCCAGTCTCATTTCCCTACTTCATTTTCCTTCATAGCACTTACTGACATGAAACAAACTATGTGTTTTCATTTTGTTCACTCTAAAATGTAAGCACTATGATGGCAGGGATTTTTGACTGCTTTGTTCACAGCTGTCCCCAGTGCCTGGAACATAATCTACACCTTAAGGTTTTCAAAACTATTTGCTGAATGAATCACTGATACTTAAATATCATCTGACAAAAATATCACTTCAAAACACCCAATTATAAGCAGAACTCTCAAGCATCCACACTCATGCACAGTGTTCCAAAAGGAGAAGCCAGTTAGTGTTTAAAAAATGTATTAGAAATTAATTTTTTACTGCTTACTTTTGCTAAAGCCATCTGCACTTGCCTTAAGAGTCCTAGGCCACACCTACCAGTGTTGTTTTAGTTTTACTAAGCATACAGACTTCAAACAGAAAAAAATACAGGCTTTTTCTTTTCATCAGTCACTACTGACAAAAGGCCTCAAAGTGATCCCTCACTACAAATGATTAGGATGTTCAGGGGAGAAAGGACTCTAGAAAAATAAAAATAATCCCTTCAATCCCCAAAGAGGAATCTCTCCAGATCTCTCCCAAGACATGTTTTCTAACTTTATATCCCTTAACAAAGTGATTTTTTTTTTAAGATTTAATTTATTTATTTGAGAGAGAGAGAGAGAGAGAGACCACCAGTAGGCAGAGAGGCAGGCAGAGAGGGGGGGGAAGCAGGCTCCCTGTCGAGCACAGAGCCCGACGTCGGGCTCGATCCCAGGACCCCGAGATCATGACCTGAGCCAAAGGCTTAACCCACTGAGCCACCCAGGCGCCCGAACAAAGCGATTCTTAATATGTACAGGAAATCTTAACTGAAGAAATAACATGACTATATAACTACACATGCAGAAAAATCTGGTACTCATCCTTCTTTTCTAAAAACCTTTAACTAAAACTAGACTTACAATTTTTGTTGAAAATGTTCTGCTGTGAACCTGGCTTAAAAAGATACTTGCTTAGCTAAGACACGGGTGGATCAGTACTGTATCTTACAGTCGAACACATTTTTTTCTATTGTTTATTATTTAACACATCGTTCCCAGTCCCCTCTATTACCCCCCAAAAGAGTAAAAGAGAAAACAAAAATACACATTGGTGCAAGCAATCAGGCATGCTATGTCCAAAGCAAGCTGTTCTGGAAAGCTATGACCTAAGTGTTCAACACTGACACAGATAAAGTTCAGGCGATAGATGTCACTTGTCTCATCCATTAACAACAACAACAAAAATAAAGATTCAGATCCCAAGAAGGTAAGCAGAAAGAAAGAGGCGTGAATAAATGAAATCGGTCGTTTCTCCCCGGCCTCCTCCCGGCGCTGCGCACTCCGTACCGCCCTCCCCACCCCCATCATCCTTCAACCGCGGGTTTTGCCAGCATCGGTTCCCAGCTCGGCCCTGCAGTGCGCCATCAAATGGGTGAAGAGGAGGGACCGGTGCCCCTCCAGGAAAAGCCCGACAGTAACACACGGTGCACCCAAGTGAGGGGAGAACGTCCAACAATTAAACTCAGAAACAGTGCAGGTAGTGCCAACAAAGCGTCGTGCCAAGTCCCAAGCGATCAAAGGTCCTCCCTAGTCCCGTGACACCGCCAAATAGACAGGATTCCAAAAGGTGACGACCGTCATCGCCGAACGCGAGGCGGGAAGCGGCGCGGACCCGGAACAGTCAAGGATGAAGTCCGACCAGCCTCCAGCCTGCACTCGCCCTGCAGGCCGTCACCGCCGCCCAGCGGGGTCTGTTGCCGCCTCCCCCGAGGGGGCCAGAGCGCCGCGTCACGTGCCAGGGCTGAAACTTCGCAGTCCCGCGGGGAGGGGGGGTGGGATGCAGCGGATCGCCGCAAGGCCGGGGAGTTAGCGCGCCCGGTGACTCACCGGACGCCTCCGCGTGCAGCTGCGGGCGAGAGGGACAGGGTGCCGGGTGGGGGCCGTGCCCTCGAGGCCGCCCCCGTCCCCGTTATTAATAACCCCGCGCCTGGGAGGCAAAAGCCTGAGGCGGGCGCCCTCAGCGGCGCGACGCCCGCGGGCTCAGCAGCGCACCCTGCACGCGGAATAAATAACAATGTCATTAAATCGCCGCCCGGGCGCCGGTCCGGATGGAGAGCGGGCGCCGCCGGGAGCCGACTTTGTCTAGAACCCGCCTCCCGCGCGTCCCCGCAGCGTCCCTTGCGTCCCTGAGGGAACCCCCCGCGCCGCCGGGGCCCGGCCTTACCCGCCAGCTCGTCGGGCTCCAGCCCGCTGTCTGCGTCGATCCCGCACAGCACGAAGTAGTGCGCGAAGCGGCAGGCGGCCGGGGAGGAGCCCGAGCCCGGGCCGGGCGCCGCGCCGCTCCCGCTCATCCCGGCCGCGCTGCTCCTGCCGCCGCCGCCTCTCGGGAAGACTCGCCGCTACGCCTGCGGTCCCCGCGCGCCTGTCCTAGGGCGACACCGGCGCGCCCATGGCCGCGCAGCCGCCGCTCGTCACCGCAGCCTCGCTCCCCGCTCGGCGCCGGAGAAGCGGCCGCGAGCTCGCGCCCAGTTGGTCCCAATCCCGGTCGCGGGTGGGGGAGGGGCGCGCAGGGGGAGTGTCGGCGTGAGAGACTCGCGCCGCCGCAGCTGCGCTCGCGAACTGGAAGCCGCGGCGTCTGGCGCCCGCTGGTCAGCTGAGCGGCGCTCGGGCTGTGGGAGCGCTGGGAGGGCGGGGGCGCTGAGGACCAGCGCGTGGGATGGGAGGGGGCTGAAAGGAGGGCGCGCTCGCGAGGGGCGGGAGCGCGCTCTCCGGTCGTGTGCGCGCGCGCGCCCCGCGGGCTGCGAGGGAGCGCCTAGCGCGGGCAGGATTAGTGCTCGTCAGCCGGGGCCGCGGCCCAGGGGGAGATAGCACACACGCCTTCTGGCCTCTGCCAGGCGAGAGGGTTAGCCGCGGTGCAGGATTCTGGCTTCCAAAGGAGATGCTACCTATTCTAATTAAAAAAAAAATGCAGCTTTGGGGAAGTCTGAGATCGTTTACCATCACGGCCTGGACGATCAACATCTTTTGAACCGTGACATGTGCAAATGCCTGTCTCGTTTTAAGATCTTAGTCCTTGAATCTTTCCCTCAGCCCTCACCCCCATCTACAAGCCATCCTTACTCAGTGAATTCGTGTCAACTCAATGACCACAAAGGGTTGAGACTTCTAAAAGGACAATTGCGTACCCCCCCGCACCACCCCTTTCTGTAATTTATCCTGACACTTTTCAGGTCAGTGTAAAGTAGCCAAGGCACTCCAGTTCCCCAGCTCTGTACTCGGTTGATATTATCAGCTCTCCCTACAGGTACAATTGGAGACTGATAAGACAACAGGAATTAGACCCTGAACTCTGCTCCTCACAAAGCCATGGCTTTCTTACCCTGCTCTTCCCTCTGAGATTCCATTCTACAGGAGTTCACCAACCAGGTTTTATTTCTTTGAAAGGTGAAAAACCGAATAGATCAATTTCCACATTGTCATGCCTTCAGCACCATTCCCTACTCATTTTGGATTTGGGTATAATGTGGGTGGGTGGGTAGGTGGGGGGCGTCACAAATACCACCAGTAGTCACACAAACCTCCCAGGCAGGTGGACTGAGAAACAAACTATTATTCTGACTGAATAATGTTCCTCCTGGAAGATAGGTATGCGTGCATATCATCATTTACTATACCTTCTATCCTTTCTCTCTTTCCTCAATTTTGAAATGTAAGAAGAATCAAGAAATCAGGGTGAAGGACAGCCTGGGTAATTGACCTTTTGCTCCTACTGCACCCTGCCCTCTTTCTTCAAAGCACTTGTAATGACTTTTTCTGTTTGTCTTAGCTGGATTGTAAGCTCCACAGAGCAGAAATCATGCTCTGTGTCTCATTTCTAGTATCTAGCAGAACCCTGGTCCCACTGAGCCCTTCAATTTATTTTTATTGAATGAAAGAAAGGTTATCCAGGTAATAAAACGTTGTTGATGCTTCTAGGAAATATACAAACTTTAATATCTGTATTAATGAACATGAAAATATGCTAACTTGGTGTTGTACAAGTATTGTTTTTCCTCCTGTAGAGGGTACTGAAATACATACCACAATTTCACTGATAAGGAAGAGAGGGAGTGACTGAGATGAGTATGTGTTTCTCCTAACTATTTTTGGTGATTGCTTCTTACAAAATGTTTGTTAGATTCTAGACTAACAAACAAAGGAAAATGAATTTACCTCTGAATTAACCATGAGACATGTCATTTTTTGTTCACTTGTTCACTTGAAAAGCAACTGAGGGGTGCCTAGGTGGCTCAGTCTGCCTTTAACTCAGATCATGAACTCAGGGTTCTGGGATCGAGCCCCAAGCCAGGCTTCTCTGCTCAGTGGGGAGTTTGCTTTTCCCTCTACCTCTACCCCTGCTCCTGCTTGTGCTCTTGCCCTCCCCCACTTAAATAAATAAATAAAATCTTAAAAAAAAAAAAAAAGAATTGATTTATGAGTTTGTAAGCCCTACATTAATCTTAAGCTGAAAATATTGAAAGAAACCCAAACAGAATACATTCAATTATGAGTATAAATCTCATCAAAATAGAAAAAAATCTCCAAAATCTTTCCTAAAGCTTCCAAGAGAATAGTTACACATTATAAAATAAAACTTAACTTGAAAATACCTGGGTACATTCTTAATGATCACTTCAGAATGATGCTGTATAGGTATATTCTGCATTAAATTGTAGTGAAATAAAAGGATAATCAAGAATTAACTATATATCATCGCATACATGTTTCCCTCTAAAATAATGACATAGAAATAATTTAGCTAAGCAAACAAAAAATGACTTGAAATAAATTGTCCAAAATATTTAAATTGTGTCAAGGAGGAGAGAGATCATATGCCTCTTCCCATGCTAAGACAACCCTTGTCAATACCATTCTTCACCTCCACCAGGCCACCCACACATAAACAAAACCCAGAGCGAAGGAATTGCTAAAGTAACTTCGGATCCCCAGACATTCATTGGACCACACTTCACTAACAGTCAGATCACTATATGCCATTAGGTGAGCATTGCTCAGTCAAGGACTCATTCTTCAGCTTCCCTCAGACAGCAGACCCTAGAGAGGTTCAGCTACTCCAAGCTTAAATCATGCCCTCCATTTGAGGACTGAGTCCTTCAGAGGTAGCAAATCATTGCTCAGATACTTAGAGCATTGCCTTCCATTCTGCTGTTGTTCCTTGTATGTTTGCTGCCTGAATTGAGAACATGCAGAGAAGGCAGTAATCCTAACTTTAACTTCTAAACAGCACAAAACATGCCAAATAATCACGATTCCAACAAAAGGAAATCCTGAGGGACATTCTCTTCTGCCAGGGTTTTAGCTTTCTGGGAAAAATCTTATCACAACAAAAGTTTATTTGGAGAATTGATTATCATATTCTGTCATCATAGTTTCAGGAAAAAAGGTTAATTTATGCCAATAAGAATTTGGTAGCAAAATAGCTGACTCATAGTTTTGCCTAAACTTGTTCCTACCTTTTGCAATGAATCCAATATTAATAAGAGTCTCCTTTATGTAAGTTATTATGCTAATGCTTTAAGAATATGAAATTTAAAAAGACATGATCCCATCTCTTCAGGAGTTTATAGTAGAAAGGCAAATATTTTTCGAAGATAATTAAAAGACCAAAAAGAGATAATAAAAAGTAAAATCTGGTATATTCCACATGACAAGTTCGAAAAGCAATATAGGATTTAGTGAAGAGAGATGTCAAATCTTCCTATGGAATTCAGTAAGATAGTATGAAAGTGATAACTTTCGGGAATGGACCTTTATAAGAGCAATAGGATTTCATGAGTTAGAGATGGGAGGAGAGATATTCCAGGCACAGAAGAAGTGACTGGGGTGAAAAGTGTGTAGAGGGAGATAAAAAAAAGTGTGTAGAGGACAGTAATTCAGTTGGAGCCAGAGCAGAAAAGAGTCTTGAACAGCAGGCGAGTAGGGCTGACTCACCTTTTTATACTCTTTTCTCACTTGAGGGATTTGATGCCTGAATGCTAGCTTTGAGTAAGTTTGACACAAAATATTTGAGATCAGCTAAACCAGTCTTCTCATTTTACGCATAAAAATATCTAAGTCTCACAGAATTTTGGTGATTTACCCAAACACACATTGTTAGTGGCAGAACCAGGAGCAAAGTTTAAAAGATTGCATTGTAGTGAGCATTGTAGGATCTTTTTTTTTTTTAAGATTTTATTTATTTATTTGACAGAGAGAGATCACAAGTAGGCAGAGATAAGGGGGAAGGAGCATTGTCAGATCAATCTTAAAGGCCTTCTCATTTTTAATATCTGTAAGTCTATGAAATCTCTTCATCTGAGTTGACTAATCTTTCTCCTATATGCTGCTTACTTCTTTTTAGTAATCCACTTTGGAATTTGATTATTTTTTCATTTTATGATGAAAAATTTCCAAATTAAAGACTAGAATACTGAACCTCCATATACCCATTACCTAGTTTTAATATTTTACATTGTGCCATTTGTGTTTCATCTATTTGTTTTTTTACTGAAGTATTTGAAAGTGAGGCATAGTATTTGTTGACATTTTGATTATGCCTGTTTATCTGAAGTTTCATATGAATGTCTCCTTACTTTCTCAATGAAATCCCTAGACCTCCTTTTCTCTCTTTACCTCACATAAAACGTCAAACATTAGTCTTCATTCATCATCTAGTCTTAGTCTCCTATTTTTTCCCCCAATAATACTCTCGTAGATTCCATTCCTTTCTCAGGACTCCCTCCTCCTTCTGAGAACCCCTTTCCTTCATTCTATCTAAATTGTTCTCTCAGGAGCTACAATGATTTGATACAACTTCACACCTATTTCTCCCTCCTCTCGGTTCAGTTGACTGATCTAGAAGAAGGCTTGTGACCCAGGCTGAGCCAATGAGACCTTTCCCATTGGTCTTGGACTTAGGGCCCAAGAGTTGAGATGGTCTCTCTGCAGGTAGCCAACGATACAAGCTGAAGAGCTTAGGAGGTATCAGTAGTCACACTTCTAATATACAGAGAAAGAGTGAGAGGGAAGAATGAGGCTGATGGTCAGAACAGAGAGACAAGCAGAGCAAGCATCCTGTACTGTGATCATGAGTTTAACTTTTTTGCCTAAGCCAATTTAAATTGGAATTCTGACACTTGCAGCCAAAAGAGCACATATGTAAGTGTGATTTGAACATTATCAATAGGAAGAATCAGGCAAAACCTTCAGGCTACCCCCTGCTAAAATGTATAAGACCACTCTAAACATTCACCCCACCCAAATTGAAAAAACTTAAAGAGAAGCTGTAATTACTGTACTATGTTTTCAAGGT